TCCCATTTATCAGGCAGCAAGTGAACAGTCAGTTTTTAAATTTCATATGTTCGAAGCAGAAAAATGGACAAGCGAAAAGATCTTAATGACTTTGAGAAGCGCCAAATAGAGATGGCTAGATAACTAGGTCACAGCATTTCTAAAACAGCAAGTCTTGTGGGGTGTTCTTCAGAATGTGCATGGCAGCCCCCTCCTTCTTTATGTACCCCAGCAACCTTCAATGTTACTAGAATGTATATGCATAAATGCATACCTTTGAAATGTGACCTCCTGAGAATCAGGACGTTGGTGGGAGGGAGGCAAATGGGGCCAAAGGCCAAATGGGCGGGTCTGCCGGAAAGGGTAAGCCCGTGTTAATGGCAGGTCAGCCTAATGTGAATACACACCAGGCTGCATGTCCCTCACTCAGGCTGACCCAATGATGGCAGGACATATAGGGAGCACTGTTTTAGTGATCCCTGCAAGGTCCTAATGCCTTGAACATAGCATGAGCGTGTGCTAAGATGGTTAAGGATAGTTCTCTGATGTCTCCAAAAACAGAACAGTAGGCAGGATGATGGGACAGGACCCAAAAATCAGGACTGTCCTGCAGAAATTAGGATGGTTGGGAGGCATGGAAAAATAGCTACTTATTGCAATTTGCAGAAACCTAAATGGTTCTACTGCATGTCATATTTGTAGAGTTCGAAATTGTATCAGATAAAACAGACCTGAAAATCTTGGCAAAGACGCACAGCGATCCTGCATTTACTCAGTTTGTCATTTTGAAAGTATACGGAATGGAATGCAGCACTTGGATGTCATTTGGGGATTTGCCTCCACACTGCGGTGTGGTGGTGGGGGTGGTGTGAGTGCGGTGAAGCCAGGGGCGGGGAATGTTCTGAGAAATTTAAGATTTACTTATAACAATTTAAGCAACAAAAATGTAATTTAGAACAAGAACAATGTATCTTTTTACACGGATTTCTAAACACATTTATTGCAGTTTAAAGACATATTAATGTGAGAGTTAGAATACCTATTTTCTACAAAGTGTTAAAAAAATGATCAGAAACGCACTACAGATCAACTAATATGTATCTTACTAGAAATAAAAGAAATATAAATCGCAAATCAGTAAAACCACTCTAAATCAGCGAATCAAAGTAGGTGTACGTGGCATTGGTAATAGCAGCTAAACAAGGGGAACTTTTTTTTTGATGAGGGGTCCAACTGTTCCTGTCCAGCCTGCCTCTGTCAGCTGCTGGCACTGGCACCTGCTCTGCCTCAGGGAGGTGGTAGTAGTAGTGGAGAAGGTAATGCAGGTGGTAGAGTCAGATACAACCTGATTGGACCAGCTGCCGGCGCTAGTGTTTTCTTGTTCTCATTCTTCCTTCAGTAATACAGACTTTTGGGGTGTTTGCAGCTGTTGATACATACAGCCACTAGTGAGATAACCCTTCACTCACCCCTACACGCCTCGTCACCATTCAATTTGGGAAAAATCAACTATGTTTCCATTTTAGCTATTTTGATCTTAAATTTGAATGTAACTTTGAATGTACTTTAAATGACAAACCATTTTCACCACTTTTTTTATTGTAGAAAATAATCCTTTGAGACGAAAGATTCTCTGAGATTATTAATAGGTTGAACTAAAGTCATGTGAACACAACAAAACTAGCATTTTAGCCAAACCTACTATAGGAAAAGTGCCAAGGTTAGGTCCTTGGGAAAAGAAAGGCAGGTACAGCTAAGGTCAACTGGACAAAGTACCTGTACCCTTGGTCATATTCCATAATCTAATGTATGAGTCCATCAATACATTTCAGCAATGGAAACTGAAAGCTTTAACTTAATGGATTTCCCATTAAAGTCAACAACATTTTTGGGAGATCTCTCAAAATCATTTTCTTGGCTTCCAGAAATTAAAAAGGGCAGATGCTGCAAATCTACAAAAACTTCACAAATTTCTAAAACGATTCTCAAAAAGGAAAAGAAAGGATCAATCTAAATTCATATAAATGTAAGAGTCCATATAGCTGGTGGTGAATATTAATGCACCAGACAATGTGATTTAATGCTTATTATCAGCCATTATTTCTACCAAAATACTGAGCGACAAGCTAAGAGCCAGCAGCATTAAAAGCTTATCTCAAGACGGCTTCATGTGGAATCCACAGAAATAGGCATTTCATTACTTAATATTTCAATCTCACAACACATGCTACAGTTTTTATTGGGCAGTTTCACTATTAACCCTTTTTTCACTATTACACTATTATTGTTAGTAATACTTTTTTTTTTGTTTAATCAGTTAAATAAAATATCCTCTCTTCCAATATTCCCATCTTATTGTAGTGGTTATAGTTTATGGAGTCTTTGGAATCCCCCATCCCTTTTCTGTTAAGCTCTGTTTAAACCAGTTTGACAAAAACCAGTGCTCTACGAGATCCTATCTCCTTGTCTGCTGGTAATACAGACATTTTCCTAAGACATTTTCTGTCCAACACCATACAAACTTGGATAGCAACGATAATCTGTGAGACATTGGTCTAAGCAACCCCCATAGCTTTCAGTCTGTTATAGCTGTACACCTAGCATGTCAAACTCAAAGTGTGGCACGGGCCACATAAACAAGGTTTAAGTTTATGTGGGCCGCACACACACACACACACACACACAGACATACTCACTGACAGACACACACACATACTCACTGACAGACAGACACACACTGACAGACAGACACACACACATACAGACACACTGACAGACACACACACACACTGACACACACACATACTCACAGACAGACACACACATACAGACACACTGACAGACACACACATACTTGCTGACAGACACACAGACACACACACACACACTCACAGAAAGACAGACACACACACACTGACAGGCATACACACACACACACACACACATATTCACTGACAGACACACACACTCACTGACAGACACACATGCTCACTGACAGACACACACACTGACAGACACATACTTGCTGACACACACACACTGACACACACACATACTCACTGACAGACACACACACACACACACTGACAGACACACACTCACACTCACACACACACATACTTTCTTTATTGCTCCTTACCTTATGGAGCCGATGGGGGGCATCTCCCTGGGGTCCTTCCTGCTCCTCACTGCTCCCGAGCGCAGTTTAGTGATGCCGGGTGCCGGAATATGACGTCATATTCTGGCGCCCGGCTTCACTTCAGTCAGCGTGCGCGAGGGAGCAGTGAGGAGCTGGAAGGCTGAGCTCCCTCGCTGGCCATCCTCCCCGGCCAGGTAAATGTAAGCAGAGAAGGCACCTGTAATGTGGGGAAAGCAGGTGCCTACTCTGCTATAACACTGAGCATGCACTCGCGGCTCGCCTGGCCGCAAAGATGGTCCTTGTGGGCCGCAAGTTTGACATGCTTGCTGTACACGTTGGAAGGCTTTAAAGCAAAAAGAAAGAATATGAGGACTGAACAAAAGCTTAGAGAGACTCAATAGCTTGCCCTTCGGTAAATCCTCATTCAGGTCTCAAACAATTGTTGCTCACTTGTGCCATTATAGAGAGAAGCATATCAGACTGGTCCCACCCATACAGGCAGTCCAGATGCGAAATGCCAGCAAGTTCCCTCTGCACAAGAGATACATCAACACTAGACGTTTGTTTCAGCCTTCTTTTGGGCCTCGTCAGTGAGGTGTAGCTGATATCTCTCTAGGCACAAGTGAGCACGGGGTCCACATCTGGATTACCCTTTTAACATGGCGTGATGCATTAAAGAATATGAGAACTCTGAGGACAGACGTATGTAGTATCTGAGCAGCAGACAGAATGCTAAGAGCCCTTTTTGTTGCCCTACCACTCAAAAAATGTTTAACCCCTTAAGGACCCAACTTCTGGAATAAAAGGGAATCATGACATGTCACACATGTCATGTGTCCTTAAGGGGTTAATGGAATACTGGGGAGCAGTAAGAAAGAAAGATTACAATGCAACATAACCACAACAATAGAATATAGTGGATTGAGTTTTTGCTGCAAAAACAAGAACATTAAATTTCAGTTTGTGTTTTATCTCTTTTTGCGTTTAATCACGGGCCTGGTGGGCCGTATTGATGCGGTCGAAGTCGCCACCACGCGGCAAGCACAAGAAATAACAGAGCTCAGGCAGGAATTGCAGGCACTAAAGCAAAAGCAGGCCAAAACTGACGCGGCATTAGAAGGCGCCGCAATAATCTAAAGATCTGCAGGATCCCAGAGGACATACCTGCTGAGGAAATCTCGCACCTCCCACGGAGGCTCACAGGATCCCTATTGACGCCTAAGCAAGCCAGGAGCATCGGCTTTGAAGTGGCCTTCCGGGTCCCGAAACCCCGGAGAGGCCCTGAGGCAGCCCCCCGAGACCTGGTGGTTAAGTACAGAAGCGCGGCTGACAAAATGGCGGTACTCGCAGCCCTGAAGGGAGCCGCCACCTACAGCTTTGAATCGATGACCCTGTCCTCCTTTGCACACCTGTCAGGGAAACTCTGCAGTGGCGCAGGTCCCTGCTACCGTCACCAAACTGCTCTGAGAGAAACAGATTACCTACCGCTGGCGCACGCCACGCACTCTACACATACAACAAGATAACAAGGCCTACTCCATTTTGGACATCCAAGAAGCACCCGCCTTGCTGCGACTACTGGGCCTACCTCTGTAGGGGCTACCGCCCATCACTGCATGGGAAGCAACAGTAACGGTTCAGAGATGGGATCCAGCGAAGACAATCCCCTTCATCCCACGGGGAACAGGGAAACCCGAGTATGCAGCAGCGACCACATGAGGGCCCAGCACCCGCACTGGGACTTTCTCCCTCATTGCAGGACAATACATTACGGGTAGTGATGTCCCAAACGGTTCGCCGAACGGTTCGCGAATGGTTCGCCACGAACGGTTCGTCACGGACTCATCATTGAGTAAACTTTGACCCTGTACCTCACAGTCAGCAGACACATTCCAGCCAATCAGCAGCAGACCCTCCCTCCCAGACCCTCCCACCTCCTGGACAGCTCACTAAGAATGCAGCTTCACAATGAATGTAAAATGGATGCTGTCCAGGGGGAGGGAGGGTCTGGGAGGGAGGGTCTGCTGCTGATTGGCTGGAATGTGTCTGCTGACTGTGAGGTACAGGGTCAAAGTTTACTCAATGATGAGTCCGTGGCGAACCGTTCGTGGCGAACCATTCGCGAATTACGGGACTGACACCCTGACTGAACAGTCTAATACACCTCTAATCTCATAAGGAGACACTGCAAAAACACCCAGACGGTTCTTCGCCGGTTTTTCTGTATTTCTTGTTTCCATAGTTTTTATTATTAGCTTTTCTCTTTTTAGTTTTAACTTTTCCGATATGTTTTCATATTTGTCTTAATTGCTGCCCTAGACACACCATGATAGGCCTTAAGGGGACCGACCTCGGGACACTACTAATCTCCCAAACCCGAGAACGAAGCTCACTAATCAGTCTCACTGCTTCATTAACTTCTGCACCCACATAGCTCACCGACAGAGACCAGGCCACAAGGAGCAGGTTTACTCCTTGGTCCCCCCCCCCCCGCACCTCCTCCACCCCACACCAGGGTCACAGAGGACACTAACCCACTTGGCAGACCGCAAGCCTCTTGACCCCCCCAAGGGCGCTCTCCACGTAAGGTGCCCAGGTAGACCTCACATATCAGATATGCGGACTGCGGTGTACTCTATAGACAACTAGATACGGCATACACGAGCAGCAGGAAGAACCTGCATGACATAACTCAGACACCTCATTGCCCGCTACATATACTATGTCGCCACTGTAATGGTACACTAGATGACTTCCCTGCATGCCTTTAGGACCAACATTTAATTATTAAAAAAAGTGCAGCCTACAAACTACCATATCTCTGACCAATGTTGATTGTCACTATTGCACTTGTTACAGCTAATATGACATTTTCCAGCATGTAAGATATCTCATGCACATGAAAAATAAAGAAATAAAAAAAAATACAATAAATAACAACAATAACGACAACAATGAAGATTCACACTATAAACGATCCGAATTCCGAATAGACGGTTTTCGTAAAGTGCGAAGACGATCCCATGTATTGATCCATGGTGAATCAAACTGAAAAGAAACAAAAAGACTTGAAAGGAACTTGGAAATGAACTGTTTGTCATATATACATTAATATCTATTGAAATTTTATTTAAAAGGTAATCTTAACAAGTAAAATAAACGCAATAGTTGTTAGTTTTTGTTTCCTCACGAACTGCTAAAGGCTGAGTGATTATAGCTCGCAGTGTTGATTTGAACGTTCTCTAGAAGAAAATGCAGTATCCAAGTAAATTCTCCAAGCAATCAGACGTATACCCAAACATCAGCCTAGACTAGATGAAGGGTACAACAGGAATGAATTTATTCAGGCCAACTGGCCGGTTTATATGCAATTCCCCATGCAAGGAGTTTACCGTGACACATTCCAAGGGCATTCCCCACTGGGCCTGAGAGGGGACTATGGCAAAGTACACACTGTAATTACATTGGCTCTCAGGTCCAGGACACCCCCTCACAAAACAGGATAATCCTTCCCTTGTGCCTGTGAGATAATTGAGTCAGGAACTGTACTAAACTCAATTATCTCCAGGCACAGTAAACATAAATTTCAACAACATCCCGAAAGTGCCCCCAAAACACAAAGGTCATATCCCCTGATAGCCCCAATCTGGGGGACCAACATATCCCAAAATCATCCATATCTGTTCAGGGGTTCGGGATTTCCACGGAAGTCACAATTGGACCGACTGCACACGAGGCTCCTGCCCAACAGTTCCAGAGAATCAGGGCTTGCGGTTGGTCTAGTTCAGTAGTTTAAAAATGAACAAACTACCAAACATAGTCAATAGTCTTACCCTGGAGCTTGTTCCCCTCATCCAGACGAACGATTCCACCAAACAGTACCCTTCTAAGTTGTGTAGAACTGAACGCAGGCGATGATGGAAGTCTTGCGGAGTTTGGGAGTTTCCATGTCCGATTTTAGTTCCAGGTACTTGACAACCAAACACCGTTGCCTGCGTTCATGTGAACAAGATGGTCATTCCTCGTGGTCATTCATGCGATCAGCGGCCATCAAGACAAACAATTAGAACACTGCTGTTAGAATTGTTACTAAGTGTTAATAGGATTTTACAAGCTCCCCGGTGATCTCTGCTTCAGGTTGTCCTATTGTTGACCCTGAGGAAAGTCCCGAGCGGGGACTGAAACGTTGGTCGTTTTTAAATTGATTTAATAAAGTATTTGACATTTTTTATTTATTTATTTATTTTCTTGTGCATGCTAGGTGTAACATACAGACTCGTGGTGCCCAAATAGCAGTTCTCAAGCGCATTTTCATAGTTAACAATAGGAGCATTAGTTAAACAAGATATATGTGCGTTCACGGAAGAATGTACATCGTGGTGCTAAGTGTTTACAGGCTATATATGCCTGGGTGTATGGTCACTTAGGAGTCATTTGGGCTTCATGGTTGGGCTATAAACTTGGGTTACCACAGGCACCAACACCCAATGTGGGAGATTATGCGTGAACGTTCGGCTTTTGTACCCCAAGACAGGTCTAGGAACGGGTGTAGCAGGTGTGGGGGTGTCTGTCAGAGCTTATGTGTGCTAGATCTTGTGTGTGGCCGTGTGTGCTGGCTGATATTACAGTGTTTGCAGGGGTAGTCCAACGTTTCAGGTTAGGTGCAAAGTCTAGAGTTAACCAATGCGCAGGCCTGGTAGTAAGCTTGGGGGTAGCAAAAGATCTGAAGGCAGTTCAATCAACTGCACCCCCCCCCCCCCAAAGCCCTGGGCCGTCTTGGAGACCACGAACTCGGGTGCCCTCATAGGAGACCGCGTTCTTCCCTAATTGTGGGCTGAGGTGGATCCTGGTGGAGGGTCACCATCTGTGGCGTCAGATCCTCTGCTCCGGTGGCTGCTAGAGTAGGACCTGCCAAGAATGGGGTACATTGACGTTGTGGCAGGCTTATGCAATATATGATCATATAATGTAACTAAGCCCCCATTATTTTTTGCCTAGGTGAGGTGTTTTTAAATAAAACTATTACAATCTCTAAGATTTGAAATCATTGTTTAGTGAATAAACGAGTGCGCTGGATTCTGTATTTTGTATATATATATATCCAAATCCGACGCAGCAAACAAGCAAGCCCAATTATATATACATATAATAAAATCCTCTTCTTTGAAGTCGCACAATGTTATGGCACAGAGTAGGGAGGTCACCCCATACAATTCCAGTATTGCTTTTGCAAACTAATATCCAGTTATGTTGAGGTGTATTCCTGTAGGTCCTTTGCCAGAATAGGGTGTTGCTGTGTGGGTCACAGAGCAGGCCTGTAGGTCCTAGATATGCAAAAAACACTTATACAGCAGTTGTGTGGATAGTGATTATATACTGCTATAACATAACTAGCATGGATAGGGACAGGGCCAGACTGGCCCACCGGGATACTGGGAAATTTCCCGGTCTGCAGTCGGCACCTGAGGCCGGGCAGACACCTGGGTCTGCTGGCGGCCGCTGGGGAGGTTTTTCTGGCGGCCGCTGGGGGACTTGTACTGGCGGCCGCTGGGGGAGCTGGCTCTGCTCCCCAGCGCGCAGCTGAATGAGACCGGCGCCGGAATATGACATCATATTCCGGCGCCGGTCTCATTCAGCAGCGCTCGAGGGCGGAAAAGCAGTGCCAGCGTAGCTCCCCCAGCGGCCACCAGTACAAGTCCCCCAGCGGCCGCCAGAAGACCTCCCCAGCGGCCGCCAGTACAAGTCCCCCAGCGGCCGCCAGCAGACCTCCCTAACGGTCTCCAGAAGACCTCCCCCTGGCAGGTATTAGTAATGTGTCAGTGTGAGTTTGTCTGTCTGTTATGGTGTGTGTGTCTGTCTGTCTGTGTCATGGTGTCTGTATGGTGTGTGTCTGTCTGTATGGTGTGTGTGTGTGTGTGTGTGTCATGGTGTCTGTCTGTATGGTGTGTGTCTGTCTGTATGGTGTGTGTGTGTGTCATGGTGTCTGTCTGTATGGTGTGTGTCTGTCTGTACGGTGTGTGTGTGTCATGGTGTCTGTCTGTATGGTGTGTGTCTGTCTGTATGGTGTGTGTGTCATGGTGTCTGTCTGTATGATGTGTGTCTGTCTGTCTGTGTCATGGTGTCTGTGTGGTATGTGTGTGTGTCTGTCTGTGTCATGGTGTGTGTGTGTGTGTGTGTCTGTCCGTCATGGTGTGTGTGTCTGTCCGTCATGGGGTGTGTGTCTGTCCGTCATGGGGTGTGTGTCTGTCTGTCCGTCATGGGGCGTGTGTGTGTGTCTGTCCATCATGGGGTGTGTGTGTGTCTGTCCGTCATGGGGTGTGTGTCTGTCTGTCCGTCATGGGGCGTGTGTGTGTGTGTGTCTGTCTGTCATGGGGTGTGTGTCTGTCTGTCCGTCCTGGGGTGTGTGTGTGTCTGTCCGTGATGGGGTGTGTGTGTGTGTCTGTGTCATGGGGTGTGTGCCTGTCTGTGTCATGGTGTGTGTGCCTGTCTGTGTCATGGTGTGTGCGTGTGTGTGTGGGTCTGTCTGTGTCATGGTCTGTCATGGTGTGTGTATCTGTCATGGGGTGTGTATCTGTCATGGGGTGTGTATCTGTCATGGTATATGTATGTTTCTGTGTCTATCATGGTGTATATGTGTGTTTAAAAATAGTGTTTTTGCTCACTTTTTTTTCCCCACGCAGCGTGCTGGTCTCCCCTCGACTGGCCCTGCCTCTATAGCTGAGATCATCAAGCTTGATGATCTCAGCCAATCCAATGCTTTGCCATAGGATTGGCTGCAAAACGCCACTCCAATCAGCATCTCCTCATAGAGATGCATTGAATCAATGTATCTCTATGGGGAACGTTCAGCACCTACAGAGTGTGGAGGCCCTGAATGTAGGTGCACTAACACAGGAAGCACCTCTAGTGACCGTCTGAGTGACTGTCACTAGCAGTGTCACTTTGAAGCAATGTAAACACTGCCTTTTCTCTGAAAAGTCAGTGTTTACGTTGAAAAGCCTGTAGGGACATGCTATAGACACCAGTACCACTACATTAAGCTGTGTGTGT